CTGCAAAGAGGCTTCGACAGCTCTTTCTTTCTTCCACAGGACGACAAGCCTTTCCTTCCACGGTGTGTTTGCTTGGGCATCCAGTTGCAGGGGGGTGGAGGGGGGAGAGGGGAAATGGATTTGATAATGGCCAAGGTTTTCTGCTTCACTCTTTGATAAGCGAGGGATGAGTGAACTTTTTGGCTGGAGAGGCAGAAAGTCAGTGGACACAAAGCAGGTGACCAAACTATACTCCCTCCCTTGTGGTCTCCAGCCTCCATGCTGGCTGGGGAATTCTGGGAGTTGAAGTCCGCCTATCATAAAATAGCCAAGTTTGAAAAACACCGGTCTAAAGGGTTGTGGCTCACTGCTGTAGCCTCAGTACTGCAGCTACAGAAAAGGGTAAAACCTTTCCTCTCTAATCTGTCTGCAAGATGTGTGATAATATCTGTAATAAAGCTGGTCCTGCAGGGCCAGCTTCAAAACCTCTTTTGAGTTTCTATAGGCCAGTGTTTGTCAACCTTGGCCACTTTAAGGTGGGTGGACTTCATCTCCCAGAATTCTCCTCCAGCATGGAGGCTGGAGACCACAAGGGAGGGAGTATAGTTTGGTCACCTGCTGGCTGGGGAATTCTGGGAGTTGAAGTCCACCCATCTTAAAGTGGCCAAGGTTGACAAACACTGCTATAGGCCTCTGAGCTGGCCTGCACACCTAGCCTTACAGAAGTTGCAGAAAAGTACTGTATTATTTTATTTATACATTGGGCTTATAGGCTGCTCTAATGAGGAACAACTCTGACTGCATTATGCACACCGACACATAACCAATTTCTGCTTTCCCTGAAACTCCAGCCATATCCTTCTTGTGAGTTTCTGCATATTGGCTGCTTCCAGCCCCATCACTCCTTTCTCTGCACCCGCCGCCCCCCGCCAGCCTCAGAAGGAGGAAGGCTGGTCTATCCACATTCAGGAACAACTTGGGAAAGCAAAGCTTAGAGAATGAACACAAAATGTGACACTGCAAACCTTTAAATAAAAATATATAATTTTTTCATTGAAATCGGCTTCCTTCCCAGAAGACTGGCAGGTGAAGGTGGTGAAGGGAGGGAAACCTCTGGACAATCATCGGAATACCCATTCAGATGAAAGCATGATTGAAAACAGAATTATTTAGCAGCCAAAAGAAAAAGCCGTAGCAAGTTTGATTCAACATGGCTCCCACCAAGGGAACCTTCTGTGACATGGGATGAAAAGTGATCCAGCTGGCACTGTAGACCTGCCTTCCCCAAAAACTTTGAACCAAGCCTATCATCCAAAACTACAGAATAAACTTAACAATTGTGGACTAACAGCCAAGTCCTCCTAAGACATGTGTTTTTCTCAGACACGCATTGAAGTCAAGAAAAGAGAAAAGTGAAAAGAAAAGAGGGCCTTTCACATTTCCTCATAAACTTTTGATAAACACTGGTACAAGATGCGATTCAAGAATGTGATCAGACAAGTTCATGAAAGGCTACCGTCCATTTTCAGCAACTGCTGATAAGAGCCTCCATGTACAAATATTGTATACTCTAGAACCCAGTAGCAAAAGTAGGAGCAAGGGCTGGTTTCCTCCTCATGCTCTGCTCACAGGCTTCCTAAGAGCGTGTGGTTGGTCACCCTGGACCCAGGATGTTTGGCAGGTCAGTCTTCCCAAACTAGGACTCTCAGGTGGCCCCGGACTTCCATAATTCCCTGTCTACAAGAAAGTCTGTGGGCTTTCTTACTGGAGATAATGAAAACTCAGGTCCAAAGCTGCTCGATATCAACCTTCCCTTTGACCCAGTTGTGTGGTTCCATTTAAAAGAAAAGATGGGTCTCAGGACACACTGCAAAACAGGGGGCAGGCAAGCCCAATTTTTCTGACAACCCCCCTTTTCCTAACAGACAGGAATCTCAGGCCATCATCAGAACTAAATTTGCTGCACCAGGAGCGCAAAGAATCATGCCCAGTGATAAACTTCCTGGCTGCTGCTTATAAAAACCCTCTAAGCGGGTCAACCTCTAAGGTGCCTCCGCGGGCTGCAGACATGACAAACCTGATGCAGGGTGGGGGGGGAGGCTATAATGCAAATGCTCCTCCCCACCTGGTCAAATTGCAAGGTTTCTGGTCACAGTTCTTCTGTGAATCGAATCATGATAACCCCTTGATCAGCCATGAAGAACGCACTTTATTGCCCGCTGGTACCTGGGCTGAACTTCCAAAGGCTGCAACCTGGGTCGCCTTCCGGAGAGCGGGCGCTGGGAGGCTGCAGCTGGAGCAACCCAGAGAACAGCTGATGCTGAAGCGGGGGAGGGGCAGAGGAGGGCTACCGGGCAGCCTCGGATGACTCAGAAGGCAGGCAGGAAGTGAGCGAGGGCCTGAGGCCGAAGTGCTCCAGACCTGCTGCCCGGGATCGCCAGTCAGGAAAGGCAGGCAGGCAGGCGGGCCTTTGTTCTTCGGCCACAGGCTGCACTTGCAACAAGAGGTGCCTACCCAAAGCACTCTGCACATGCTCAAATCCCCACAGGCCCACACACAGGACCTAGGACACCCAGGTGAAGAAGCAGCCCCTTGTCCCACCCCCGGAAACAGAGCGGGGTGGGGCCGCCAGGTGCCTCCCCCATTTGCAGAGAAGCAAGGGCAATGCCGCAGGTGGGGGAGAAACCAAGCAGGGAGGGCAGACGCCACTCACCTACAAAGGCCAAGCAAAGCCGAGCCCGGGCGCAGGTCGGGCAGGAGAGGAGCAGCAGGCTGAGCGTGACGAGGCGTCTGTCAGGAGAGCCAGCGCCGTCCCCAGACGAGAGCTGGGCTGCCACCGAAGCCTCGCATCTCCTGCGCGCCCCCCGGCCGAGGAGCCATGCCGCCCCAGGGGGACCTCCGGTTTCCACCTCCAAGTCGAGAGCAGGACAACCTCCCGCCGCGCGCGCGCGCGCTCCCCGTGGGAGACCCGCGGCCCCGCAGGGCATCCCTCTGCCAGGGTGCTCCGGCCACAGTCCCAGCGGCTGCGCTCCAGCAAGCCCAATAAACTTTCCGGTGCCCCTCCGATCGGGGGTCGGGGGGCGGGGGGCGGAAGAGAAGGGAACCGACGCCAAAAGGAAACACTTGGTAGGACATCAGCCGGCGTGTCCTGAGCTCCCCCATGCAAGGGGGGCGCTTTCATTCTGCCGGTCATCCGGGGCTTCCGGGTGCCTCTTGCGGGGGGCAAGGGGGGCCGGATTGCAGAAGGCAGCCCTCGCTGTCCTATCGCCCCTGAGGGAAGGGGCTACCCAACTTCTCGTTTCCGGAGGAAGGGGCGTGCAGAGCGAGCACATTCCGGAAAGCGGGCAGGATTTTTCCTTGCGGGGGGGCAGCACCTACGACCGTTTCTGCTTCCTCGCTTGGGGCAGGGGGGCGGAGGGCGCACCCCCTCCGCCCTACGAACCCCTTCCCCGGGGCCTCCCTTGCCGGGGACGGAAAAGTCGCCCCTTTTCCGGCCCGAGGAGGGTCTCCCAGAAATCATTCGCTAACTTTCCAGGGCGGGCGGCCACAGCCCCCTCGCCGCCCCCCCGCCAGC